CCGTATTTGCAAATAGGAGTAGCGATACCATGAGGGTAAGGGTAAGGTCAGGGTATACAAGAAAGGTAGCAGTATACAAGATCAACATACAAAAACAGCTGGATTCCTCTACAACAAAGAGAATATTAAAAAGAAAATCAATATATTTTACAATGGCTCCCCCAAAGATAAAATACTTAGGAATAAATATAACTAAGGATATAAAAGACTACATAAAGAAAACTACAAAACACTACTGAAAGAGACCAGAGACCTATGTAAATGGAAGAAAGTATTATGCTCAAGGATAGGAAGACTTAACATCTTGAAAATGTCAATATTACCCAAAGTGATGTATAGATATAATGAAATACCTATCCAAATTCCAAAAGCATTATTTAGGGGCATGGGAAAAAAACGAATTACCAACTTTATATGGAAAGGAAAGAGGCCCTGTATAATATGTAAAGCATTATCGATGAACAACAACGTAATAGAAGGCTGTACACTAAATGATCTCGGAACATACTTTACAGCCACAATAGTCGAACCAGCCTGGTACTGGTACAAGAGCAGGCACTGAACCTGTAGAAAAGAGGTGAGATCCCAGACCTAAATCTATCTACCTATGGTCAGCGGATCTTTAACATAAGGCAAAGGCTTCTATTGATTTATTAAAATTAATAAATCATTTTATTAGGGGCTTTTACAGCTCTTATAACAATCCATACATCAATTGTATCAAACACATTTGTACCTATGTTGCCATCATCATTTTCAAAACATTTTCTTTCTGCTTGAGCCCTTGGTATCAGCTCCTCTTTTTTCCTTCCCTCTCCCACCAGACTCCTCCCCAGCCCTTGTGGACCCCTGATAAATTATAAGTTATTATTATTTTTATATCTTACACCATCCACAGTCTCTTTTCACCCACATTTCTGTTGTTCATCACTCTGAGGGAGGTGGGGTTATACATTGATCATTGTAGTTGGTTCCCGGTTTCTCCCCCTTCTGCCCACACCTTCCCCCTACCCTCATGGTATTGCTACTCCCATTACTGTTCCTGAGGGGTTTATCTGTGCTGGATTCCATGTGTAGAGCTCTTATCTGTACCAGTGTACATGTTCCAGTCTAGCCAGATTTGTAAGGTAGAACTGTGTCATGAAAGTGGGGGTGGGTGGGGAGGAAGCATTAAAAAACTACAGGAATGTTGTATGTTTGGTCGGTGCTATGCTGCACCCTGACTCATTCCTTCCTTGTGACCCTTCTGTAAGGGAATGTACAATTGTCTACAGATGGGCTTTGGGTCTCCATTCCTACCCCCATCGTTTGCATTGATATATTTGTTTGTTTGGGGTCTTCTGATCCTTGATACCTGATCCCATTGACCACCTCGTGATCATACAGGCTGGTGTGCTTGTTCCTGTGGGCTTTGTTGATTTCCTGATAGATAGCTGCTTGTTTAACTTCAAGCCTTTAAGACCCCAGATGCTATATATTTTTTGGCGCCATCAGCTTTATTCGCCACATTTGCTAATGTACCTATTTTGTCTCCAGCGAATGTGTCAGGAAGGTGAGCATCACAGAATGCTGGGTTATTAGAACAAAGTGTTCTTGCGTTGAGGGAATACTTGAGTAGAGACCCAATGCCCATCTGGTACCTTAATACTTAACATTTAAATATATGTACATATACCTATATCCCTATCATTATGTATTAATATATTTACATATCTGCATGCCTGTATCTAGACCTCTATAAATATCTTTTGCCTTCTAGTTATTTCCTCTCTCCTGTCTCACTATCATGTTCAATCTTCATTCGACTCTCAGTACTTTCTCTTGGCTACATTGCATTTAATCAAACCCCACCAAGCATTCTACGCCCTCCTTGCCATCGGTTTCATATCTCTTATTTTTCTCTTGCTTCTGGGTTTGTTGGCTCCCCCTCCCTTTCTTCCACCTCCTCCTTTCCCATGTCCCCCCAGAGCTCCATAATTTTCTACTCAGGATTGGTTATCCTGTCTATCTTATATGGATAGACATGAGAAAGAGAAAAAAGAAAAAAAACCTATAAATAGTTCCAGATCATTCTGCTGACCCTTCTGAATGTTTTCCAGCCGGATCTGGTGAAGTACCATGCCCTGCCCACCGATTCCGAAGTCTATTTTCAGAATTCCTTGGGGATATCATTGCTTAAGGGAAAGTCTTTTAAACGAGGGAGGAGACTATCTCTTCATAAAATGATGTTAGGAAAACTGGGATATTTAGCTATAGAAAAATGAAAATATGACCATACCTCACACCATATACAACAGTGAACTCAACATGGATTAAAGACCTAAATCAAAGACCTTCATGCTAATTCTAGCATAAATAGAATACCAAACAATTAAACATGCACAAATAATATAAGATAAACTAGATAAATGGGACCTATTTTTATGCTCATCAAAAAGACTTCTTCAGGAAAGTAAAAAGAGAACCTACAGATTGCGGGAAAATTTATGGCTATGACATTTCCCACAAGGGTCTAATCTCTAAAATTTAAATAATATTTCAACACTTTAACACCTCAAACACAATTCAATATAAAAATAGACAAAGGATATGAACAGAAACTTCTCAGCAAACAATACATTCACGTGACTAACACACTCATGGACAAATACCTGCCATCCTTAGCCCATTTAGCCAATAAACCAACACACTGTCATAAAATAGATTCTGACTTATAGTGTTTTGGATCTCTGAGGCTGTAAATATTTACAGGAGGATACAGCCTCCCCCGCCCCCTCCAAGTAGCAGGTGGTTTTGAACTTCCCACCATGTGGTTAGCAGTCAATTGCTTTCTCAACAGCATCACCAGGGCATCATTAACTCAAGAAAACTCAACTCACAGCCATCAAATCCATTCCCCATGCATAGTGACCCTATAGCAGTGGTTCTCAACCTGTGGGTCACAACCCTTTTGGGGGTTGAATGACCCTTTCACAGGGGTCGACTAAGACCATATTTCCGATGGTCTTAGGAACGGAGACACTGCTCCTCTATCCGTTTCTAGGTGGGTCCGCCCACATGCAGATACACCCACATATGGGGTCACCATAACTTGAGGAACTGTATTAAAGGGTCTAGGTACTAGGAAGGTTGAGAACCACTGCCCTATAGGATAGGGTAGAACTACCCCTGAGGGTTTCCAAGATTATAATTCTTTATAGGAGTAGAAAGCCTCAACTTTTCCCCAACAGAGTGGCTTGTAGTTTCCAACTGCTTACCTTGTGCTTTGCACTACAATACATAAACCACTACATGATCAGGGCTCCTTGGGGTATCATTAAACTCAAACTCACTGCTCTTGAATCAATGCTAACTCACAGCGACTCTGTAGTCCTGGTTAGAACTGCCCTAGTGGGTTTCTGAGACTGTAACTCTTTATGGGAGTAGAAAGCCTCATCTTTCTCCTGAGGAGCAGCTGGTGGTTTCAAACTGCTAACCTCATGGTGAGCAGTCCAACCCATATTGGAGATATGTAAATCAAAACTATAATGAGATGCCATTTCATTGAACCAGTGAAAAAGAATTGAGAACCCAGATATAAATCCAATTGTGAAAATAATGGAACTAATAAAAACAAAACAAAGCAAATGTTGGGCAAGTTGTAGAGACATTAGAGCTCTTATACACCATTAGTAGGAATGTATAATAGCACAACCACTATGGAAAAATATATGATGTTTCTTTAAAAAGCTAAAAAAGGCATTTGATCCAATAATTCCACTCTTAGTTATCCTCAACTTACATAGACATATACACTCCCATGTTCATTGCAGCATTGTTCACAATAGGAAAAAGTGGAAAACAAGGCAAAGTGTCCATCGATGGATGAACAAACTCTGGTACATGCACACAATGGAGTACTACACAACAGGAAAGAATAATGCCGAATCCATGAACCGTATCACAAAATGCATGAATTTGGGGGGACATGATGCTGAGTGAATAAGTTAATTGCAAAAGGAAAAATATTGTATGAGGCCCTTATGAAAAATAAAAACAAGAAAAGGTTAGACACAGGAAAAACTAAAACATTTGATGGAATGGGAAGGTAGGGAAAATGACTAACTCGATAAAAGACATGAGTTCATGGTGAAGGGAAAGGCAATGCACAAATTGGGGGAAGTCAGCACAACATGACCAAGGCCAAGGAAGGCCCTGCGAGGAATGCTAGCATAAAGGGCATGGATTACACCTGAAACACAGCAAAACATGTAGAAAGACAGACAGACAGAAAGAATGACAGAAAGAACGAACGAACATCATATGTAGTGCAGAGCTGTTCTAAAGCTACCTACCATGCTTTGAGAACCACAACTTTGAACCAAGCTCTTATCTCATAGGCTGGTTTCAGAAACTCAGTTTTTGTCCTAATCCTTCACACTTGGGTCGTTTCCTTTATCCCCTTCCAAATGTCGTCGGTTGCTGTTGTTCCATGCCGTTGAGTCGCTTCCAACTCATAGTGATCCGATGCACAGCAGAAGGAAACACTGCCGGACCCTGCACTGTCCTCACAGTTGTGGCTGTGTTTGAGCCCATTGTTGCAGGCACTGTGTCAGTTCATCTCATCAAGCATCTTCCTCTTTTTCACTGTCCCTCAAAGTAACCTGGCTTATTTTAGCCAAGAGACTTTGACTGCCATCAATTCAGCCAGCAGTTGAGCCTAAAGTAAAACCCGGACCTCAAGTACCTGTGACCTCGCTTCCAACTGAAACTCAAACTCACTCCCTATTTCTGAAATTCTGCAGTGCTACTTCCTCAATGTCACAACTCTTCTTCACCTTTTTGGGTACCTGTCCTTCAATTTCTCTCCAGGTGACCACCACTGGGGGCTTCCTCGTATTACTTAATGCTACAACTTGCCAAACACTTCTTTCACTCCAGTGTCCTATCCTTATCCTCCCAACTGGGCTGGTCCTTTGCCAGCTGAGCTCCAGGGATAGCACACCAAAAGTATTGAGTACCTGCCAGGGGATTTGACCTGGTTTGGCGCTTACTCCACCAACAACACGAGTGAATTCTGAACTTGAAGTAGTCTCGGTGATATTATCCAACATTATTTCAGCTTCAGTAGAATTTTCGTCGTCTGGAATGTGAAGAAAATCCTGAGAACGAGTGTTTGTTTGAGGAATGTTTGGGACAGAAACTCTTCCACATGGAAATGGCACTAAAATAATAGAAAAAAATTAGTATTCTGATATACTCACTGGCAAACAGAACATGTATTATGAACATTGAGCAACAGGTCCATCCTTGTCATTTCTGAGAAACAGGGCCATCAATATTCACACAATTGAATCCATAAATAGGGTCTGAACCTAAAGGTTGATTGTATTCTTTTCATGGAAAGTTTTCAAACTCTTCATGAGAAGAACTTTTGGCTCAGGAATCCACATCATTATGGAAATAGAAAAAGTGTCCCAGAACCAAATTTGGTATGACTTTTATAAAGTCTAAGGACTTTCTCTTTAGTTAGCTTACTAAAAACACTTTTAGTCCCAAGTGCTCTCCCTGAATAGGGCTCTGATGATGGGTGCCAGGTCACCTGTGAATTAGAGTCCGTTCGAAGCCAACTGGCAACTCTAAATAGGTAAATGGAATGCCTCTGCTTTCTTTTTAACAGGCTTTCTTCTGTAGACCAGAATGTCTTCCAGATACCAAAACAGACCTTCCAGGTATCTGTTGGGGATGAGTCATTGCGATGTAGTTACTTTGCTGTACAATAGTAACCACACGGAGTAGTAATATGATTATTATGACTACATCTCCCCAGGATCTGGTCTCATTTTCATCTTTGGTCGGTTTGTTTCCTGAAGAAAGGAAGAGCCTACTGACACATTGGGATCTATCAGAAAGGAAATTTGTAGTCAAGCCAAGCCACCTCATATTTCATTTTCATTTCTTACTTTTTCCCCTAGCCACATTTCTTATAACAGACATTTCTATAGCAACCAGCCACAGCAAAGTATCATGAAGACAGCGTGTTGTTGGGAAAACAGGAAATCTTTTCAAAATCCTTATGTATAAGTATAAATCATCAATCATAGCTAGAGAAAAGGGACCATTACTATTGAAGGCAGATAAGCTTATTTGGGATTTGGCCTACTTAATTTGCTAAAGCATGAGGTGATATTCAATATAACACAGTATTTTGAGGGTAGGTATTTCTATAAAAGTATGTATATATTTTCCTTAGAAAGGTTTGTAATGGTGTATATTTCCCTTAGAAAGGGTTGTAAGGGTTTAACCATTGTAATATTCTGCCTACACTGGCTGCTTGGTGTCAAAAGATAAAACCTTTATTTTCCCTCTTCCCAAGGAAGGCTAGTTTTCAGGAAGTGTATGTCCAGAAAGAGGTCAGAAGGGCAGTTGGTGACCTGAAAACATTAAAACCTTTTCGTTGTACTTGCAGCATCTGCACTCCTGGCTTCTAGTCCTCTCTTTAATTTCCCCTGCCTGGTGCAATGCTGAGACAGGTATGGAACTCAGTGTTGGCATGTGGCATGCTGTAATGTACCAATTTAATAAGATATCAGGCTTTGGGGAGGTAAAAAGAAATTACATCTGGCTTACATTAAACAGAGGGAGCCCTTGTGGTCTCGTGGGTTATGAGTTGGGCTGTTAACTACAAGATCAGCAGTTCAAAACCACCAGCTGCTTCATGGGAGAAAGACCAGGCCTTCTACGCCCATGAAGAGCTGTAGTTTCAGAAACCCATAGGGGCAATTCGACCCTGATCTATAGGGTTACAATGGTTCCAACTCGATTCAATGGCAGTGAGAGGTTTTAACATCTAACAGGCCTCTCATTTAACAAACAGAATTGACCAAGCAGCATGTAAATATATATATTTCAAAATTTCTACCACTTTCATTTTGAGAGAAGGGAAATGTGAGTGTGGAGTGGAGCTGTTCTGGACACAGCAGTCAGTTGCCCATGTGCTGCCATAGTTGACAGGATTGGGAAATATTCCTGTGTCCTTTGCTGGGGTTGATCAGTCCGGCAGAACGTAAAACAATTAGATCGTTGTTGGAACCCTTCTGACACCAAGCATGGACGCTCAGCCTGCAACTCAAGGAGATGAAGCATTTTCATCAGAGTAAACCGGCCTGATCCTGAGTGGATCAGGCTTAAAATTCACCATCCTTGAACAAGCAGCCTATCATTCCATCAATCATGTGTGGATCTTTGATGGTTCAGTATCACTACATTAATTTGACTTAATGAATCACAGATAAGTAAGGGGGGTGGCTTCAAAAAGTCCATGGGGGAAAAGCCATTATCTTTTCATTTGTGATATCAAAGGCAGAAAGAAAAAAATAGTAACGCTGGCTAGGCTTAAAAGAACTGAGGCTGTAGACAATTCCAGAATTTATCTCGACAAGGAAGCTGAAATTTGGGAGATTAGTTTGTCTATTTCAAGCAACCAAGCTTGTCTCTGATTTAAGAGGAAAGTTGATAGAAGTCAGCATTAAAAATTTGTTGGCTAGTTGAAATGTTGAAGGCGCAAATACATATTTGAAGGACGTGTCTTTAAAGGCTTTAAAAACTTTCAATGTTGACCTGCTGGTTTACAAGACGTTTGGTCTTCTGCAAGTTGATATCCTGTAGTACAGGAACAAAGAGCCTTGTTATCAGCACCTGTGTTGCAAAACTGATGGCACCCGCCATTCTTAAAGCTGCACGTTGCATCTGAAAGAAAGCAAAGTCAATAGTAATAGCATCACTTCCCATGCATTTCTAAAAAGTGTGTGCAGCTTACTGGCTCATGCATGGGTCCCAGATAAGTTGGGGGCATGCATGGTGGGAAACTTGACAGCCTTCAGTTGAAAGGAGAAAAGCAAACCAAACTCATGGCCATTGAGTTGCTTCTGACTCAAAGCGACCCTCTGCAGGGCAAATAAAATTCTAAATGTGGCCTAAATGGGATGGCAGTGATGTACTTGGCTGGAAGTTAAAATGAATATGTGGGCTTTGTGTTGGTACTAAGAAGCCCTGGTGGTGCTGTCGGGTAAGCATTGGGTTGTTAACTTCAAGGCTGGTGGTTCAAACCCACCAGCCACTCCATAGGATAAAGAGGAGGCTGTCTGCTCCTGTGAAGATACACAATTTTGAGTCAGAATCGACCTAATGGCAGTGGATTGTTGAACTTTTCATAAAGTGAATGCTTGGTTTTCTGGATTGAAATTCATCCTCCCCATAAAAAAATGTTGACATCTAACCCCTGTACCTGTGAACATGACCCTGTTTGGGAATAGGGGCTTTTTTGTGTGTTAGGTTACTCAATTAGGGAGGGGTCCTAAACCTCATCTCTTTTGAGAGGTTTCTTATACAAAGAGTAGACTGGAGAGAGACCTACACACAGAGAGGGAAGATCGATTCCATGTGGTGACACACATATACCTACAGGCCCAGGAACTCCGAAAGAGACAAAGAAGGCCTTTCTAGACATAGTTTCTGAATATAGACTTACCATTACCTCCACTTTAAGAAAATAAATTTCTGTCCTTCAAAGCCACTGCTTAGTGTTATTTTGTTATGACAACTCTGGGAAACTAAGTTAACCTGTATGAACATTGAGCAGGTCGGTGCATATGACATCACCTACACCCGGAGCTCACCCAGCGCACCTTCCATATCATGGCATCTTTCTTCCTTCCCAAAGGTAACCATGACCCTGATTTTTAACCAAATGGTTTACGTTTGCCTGCCTGTGAATCACCTGATATTTATTCTGCTTTTCATTTAATATCTTATCTGTGGGGTTCTTCTATGGTTTTTTTTGGTAGCAGTAGTTCATTTGTATTATTGCATAGTATTCTATTGTATGAATATAACTGCCTTTATCCATCCATTCTACTGTTAATTTAATATGTTTCAGAACCGGCTTCATGGCACATACTATTAATGAATGTTTGGGTTGCTTCTAGTTTTTGGTTCTTATGTATAATGCTGTAATGAGTAGTCTTGAACCTATCTTTTGGTTATAGGCATGCGTTTTTGTTTATGAGTGGAATTATTGGATCATATGTTTAGATTTAGTAGAAAGTGCCAAGAAGGCTTCCAAAATAATTGTACAAATTTATCTTCCCCTGTTGTCATTACATGACAGTTCCATTTGTCAGAATTATGGATTTCAGATACCTTCTTCCACTCTGTGACTCGCTTATTCACTCATAATGCCTCTTGTGAAAGAGAAACAGTGCTATCATATTGGCTCCAACTCATAGCAACCCTGTGTACAGCAGAAAAAAACACTCTCCAATTCTGCGGTTTCTTCATAGTTGTTGTTATGCTTAAGCCCAGTTACAGCCACCGTGTCAATCCATCTCATCAAGGGGCTTCTTTCTTGATGACCTTCTGCTTTACCAAGCATACATGTCTTTCCCCAGGGACTGGTCCGTCCTAATAACATGTTTAAAGTACCAAAGATCAAGTCCCATCAATCTTCCTTCTAAGGAGCATTGTATGTTCTTCTGGTGGTCCATGGTAACTTTCACGATCTTCCCCAACACCATATTTTAAATGCATCAATATATAGTTTTAATATTGTTCAGTTTATCCGTCTTTTGATTTATAGTGAGCACCATTTGTATCCTTTTTAAGAAGTCTCTTCTTACACTAGGATTGTTAATATATCCTCCAATGTAGTCTTTCAGAAGTTTATTGTCCTGCATTTCATATTTAAATATTTAATCCACTTGTAATTGATTATGGTATATGGTGTGAGGTGGGGAGCCAAATGTACTTTTTCCATATGGATATCTAATTGAATCATCACTTGTTTTTATTGAAAATCCAGCCATTGTCTTTTGCAGCAAAGTGACACTTCTGTTTATTTAGATGTGATCTCAATAACAGGAAGTGGTATGATTGTTTGCTTGTGGTCTGGGAGCTGTTTGGTTAAGAGAAATACGTTCTACTCTTGGGCTATTTCTATCTCTAGAGCAACACAAGAGCCTAATATGTATATGACACCTTCCCTCTTGTCTGGATGCTCAACATACATGCTCAACACCACAACTTTCTACAGAGCTGTTTAGTTGTCAATGCAATTATGTTGTTCTTAGGTGTCAAGTCAGTTCTGACTCACAGCGACCCTATGTACAACAGAATGAAGCACTGCCCAGTCCTGTGTCATCCTCACAATTGTTCCCATGTTTGAGCCCCTTGTTGCAGCCACTGTCAATCCATCTTGTCATCCCTCTACTCTGCCAAGCATGCCAAGATCCCATCTACCTCTTAAAAGCTTTTTTCCTCCTCATCTTACTTTCCTGTTCCTCTCCCATCAAAGTCTGCTTCTTTTGGTGTGAAACTCATTCTTGTGATCTTTTTCTTTTATAATAGTTGTCTCATATAGTATTTGTCCTTGTGAGAGTGACTAATTTTGCTGAGCATATTGTCTTCCATGTTCGTCCATGTAATTATTTTCTATTTTGTGACCTGATGTTGTTACTCTGCTTTGTAAATTCTCACCTCTATGCTGTCAATGAGGCAGGATGAAATCTATAGGATTAGGCTGTATCTTGAGTCAACCTCTTTTGAGATATACAAGGTGTTAAACAAGTGAGCAGTGAGCCGGTGGACCTGATTGCCATCAAGAAAGAGGAACTGGGAGTGGGGTCTCTGTGCTGAGGAACTCCTAGACCCAGGGGAAGATTGACAGCAAGAATCTTTCCCAAGAGCTTCTCCTATAGTTGGTGCTCTGAATGCAGCTTCATATGATGGGGACATGTCATCAGAAGGGCCTGTCTCTAGGGAATGATGCTTGTGAGGATGGTCTGGGGCAGCATGTTGTTCTGTTGTACCTGAGGTGGCTATGCATAAGAACCTACTCCATACCATCTAACACCGCCACCACTAGCAGCAGCAGCTGAATAATTCATCCAATTGGTTCTCCTTTCCTTACTGTATTGCTCCTCTGTCCCTTACTCTTGCTTCTTAGGATTGCCCCTCCTAATACATATGCCTTTGTCCCAAGCTCCTTTTTTTCGGAGGAATCCGGGTCAAGAAAGTGACTTTGGAATGTATCAGAACATTTTCAGCAAATATAATCTTTTGAATTTTATTTTATGTCTACTATCACAGGCTGTGGAGCCCCAGCGGGCTCTGTCGGGTTAGCATTGGACTGATAGTCTCAATGTTGGTGGTTCAAACCCACAAGCCATTCCACAGGAGAAATATGAGACTGTTTCCTGAATCGACGTGATGGCAGTGGGTCTGGGTTGTTTGTGTGTGTGTCTGTCATAGACTAATGAAATCAATTTGCGTTACCTATACTGACAATTCCATGAATAAAGCTAGGACTCAATGCCATGGAGTTGAGTCCGACTCATGGTGACCTTGTAGGACAGAGTAGAACAGCCCCTGTGGGTTTTTAAGATTCTAACTGGCTACAGGAGTAGAAAGCTTCATCTTTCTCCCATTCCAGGAATAGAGCAATACAAAGTGACTATTGCCAAAGTCTGAATTTGAACCTTTGTGACTAATAATTCACTAAGTACGTGACCCACAAAGGGGTCCTTTGGCCCATTTTTATTTATTTATTGTGTTACGACTTTTCTGCTTACTAATGATAACAGCCCTGGCTCCTTTCATGCTACTAGCTATCATTTTGTTGCAACAAAACAATAAAGTGTTCAGCCAAATCAAATACCAGTTGCAGAAAAAGTGTTCAGTCAATACGAGATTGAGATTGGTTAAATGAGGTACGTGGACGAGGCAGGCTAATTTTGACCAGGGCACTGACAACAGGAATTCAGGACCTGGTGTTGTTTTCCCAGTGCTTATTTTAAATCCTTGGCGGAGTAACCAGATCTGTCTCTCATTTTCCATGTCTGCCATTGCCCAATGGCCCCTCGCTTGGTTTGCAGAGATGATGGGAAATACTGTTGTCCTATAAGAAGTCTTTTGGTCGCTAATAAAGGGTTTAAGATTTCCAAAATAGAATCATAGCACAAAAATTTCCAGGGTAGAGTTTTCTAGGAATATATAGGATAGTGTTCTGATGTGTAAACAGAAGTTTGTTCAGAACATGCTTTGTTTTTATAAATTTATCACAAATATGCTATTATTTTGCCTTAGTTCAACATCTCTCTTTTTCTACCCCTCCCCTATCATTATAAATAAGACAGTAGTGTCTGTGCCATGTTGGAAAAAAGACAGAAAGAACAAAAGAGGGAGGGAGGAACAGAGGAAGGGAAAAAAGAGTGTGTATATGCTTGTGTTGAATTTTATGTTCTTCCCTCTTGACTATGCTGTGGGAAGGTAACCTTATGTACTTTAGAGGGGCAGGAAAGATGAAGTTCCGCCTGAAAGGGAGTCTGATGTCATATGCAGCTGTGCCCATACAGTGGCCTTTATTTGCGCCAACCCACTAGGATCGAGTCCATTCTGCCTCGTGGTGACTCTCTGGAGGACAAAGTAGAGCTGCTCCAGAGGGTTTCCGAGACTCTAAAACCCCGTGGGACAGACAGCCTCGTCTTTTGTCCTTGGAGCAGCTGGTGGGTTTGCACGACTGACACACTACTTAGCAGTCCACGACTTAACTGATGACCATCTCGCCCGGGCTCCTTCCAAAGGGACTCAGTAGGCGCTTAACGACTGTTCTTCTCACTAGAAAGCACGTCGTGACTGTTTGCACTTCTCTCTCCTGGAGAGAAAGAAGCCTGAGCAAGAAAGGAAAACCAAACGATTTTCCCAATGGAAGCCTCCCTTCCCTTCCCTGGCAGGGGGAGACCAGCCACTTGGAGCTGAGCTACTTCATCAACTAGGCGCCAGGCTCACGGCTGAGATTAGACTGGAGTTCAGTTTGAAGCAGGAAGCTGAAATGGAAGCTTGTCTGTGTGCTTTGTTTTGGCTAGTGTCCGCGACAAAGAGCTTTGTTTTAGAAAATAGATAAATTGTATTTCAAAACTCTACCATGCAAAACTCTGCTTATAATATAAATCCTAGCAGATTTTTTTTTTAAAACTACATACTCTGAAAAGTGAACTGATTCTTATTGTGACTATGTCTCTTGCACACAGGTAGCTACAAGGAAGGCTTTCTAGGGCATCCTTTGGAAAGAGGTTTCTGTGCATTTGCCCAAACACACACAGGCTATGCTTTTCTCCGAACACATCCAGTGTGGGACAGCTGTCCATTTCATCCCCATGTCATAATGACAGCACCCCATTCCACGTGCGCCCAAACCAGTTACCATGGAGTCGCTTCCAACTTCTGGTGACCGCATGGTTTGCAGAGTAGAACACAGGACGCTCTACGTTGGCTATTTAGAAAACACCTCAAGGAACACCGAGGAGCCCTGGTGGTAGTGGGTACGCATTGGGCTGTGATCCATCCCTATGGTCAGAAGCTCCACAGGAGAATGACTGGGCATTTGACTCCCATAAACAGTGTCAGTCTCAGAAACCCACGGGGGTCGCTATGCGTCAGCATAGACACCATGGCAGGAAGTGAGTCTACGAACATCCGTTCTGTGAACTTGTCAGGCCTATTTATGGGAGAATTTCTTAGAAGTAGATTGTTTGGGATTCACATATGTATTTTTGAAATGTTCATAAATTCTGCCGACTTAGCATTCCAAAAAGTTGTACCAGCTTATCCTCCCACTGGCACTTGTGGTAGTTTTGCCAAATTTCTTCCAAGAGTTGTCTACACCCAACAGCCTTTGAAGGAGGATCCCTACATTGTTTCTGAATGAACTGAGTGCAATGGAGTTTGGGGAGGCTTTAGGAGGATGGCTGGGGAGAGCCATGCGCCTTAGGTGTGACGACAATGGTCACATGGGTAACAGTACAACTGCAGGGACCTGAACCAACTACAGTGTGGGGACTTAAGAGGAACCGATATGGTGCCAGCTGTGGAGAGCACCTTCCATTTGCAGCGAAACCTTCTCTCCACGACTTAGGCTTATCTTGACGTTCCTCAGGGTGGCCCGCCTCCTCCTTTCAAGTGTTCGTTTCGAAGCTCGATAAAGGCATTCGGGAATGTTTAATGCTGAGCGCCGCCCTCAATTATGCTTTTCCCCATGTGCTTCTCCGTCTTAGCAGGGACTCATTGGGTTAGTCATTCCCTCAGCTCCTGTACTTATATTAGTTAAGTTGCTAATGAGTAACTACTCCACAGATTTCCATGGGTTTTTATAGTAGCAGGATCAACTTAATCCAGGTAAATCTGAATCTGAAATTATAACCGTTCAGCGCCTTGGAGTGATTACGACGCCCACAGGCAAGGCAACCCTGGCATCCGTCTGTTCTTGCTGGCTGGGGATATGGAGTTTTGTCCTGGGAAACCTGAGGGAATTGGTGGGAGTGGTGGGGGTGGGGGTGTCCCAGCCAGGTGTACACTTCATCCACCATTCACTCTCTTTGCTATTTTAGAAAAATCATTTAGATCTCAAAGGCAGGTGATCAATGGCTTCCTGTTCCATGCTGAAAGGATTTCTGAGCAACTTGACAGGTGATGTTGCTTCTTTTCCCCAAAAGGCCAGGGGAGCTTCTCCATTTCGTGTGGGATTAGGCCTTCTTTATCCATCCATCCACGGCAGGTTGCTGCAGTGCTCTAATAGAATCCTGCTAATTTGTCCTCTTTGCCCGTAGACGTGTACCCTGGGGTGTGAAATCCTTTCCGTTGGATCATATCTCTGCATTTCTGAGTAGAAAGAATCCTTCATCAGCACTGCAGGCTTTTCAGAAGCATAGTGCCAATTATATTGTGGCTGCAGATAATAAACAAGGGGAGAAATGATTTGGGGTGTGGGCAGCTTCAATTTCCAAACCCTCAGGAAAAATGGTCAAAAACCACTGGAAGAGCTCCATTGTCCTTTCATTCCATTTTCCATGAAGTTTGGAAACCCTTTGTATTATTGGCGTAAAGCTACACGCTGATTCTAGGTTTTCTGCCGAGCTTGCTTGATGCAATTAATCAGTATAGTCCAATTCGGCTCTGATTTCTGCCAACAGAATTAACCTGGGACGTGCTTTGTACTTGAGGTGCTGGTGGTTGGTGGGCATGGAGGAGCCTCTGATTCATGGCGACACGGTGCACAATGTTGTGTGCTTCTGTGTTGTCTCTGTGATCGTTGGGCTGTTTGAGTCTCTTGTTGCGGCCTCAGTGTACTTTGAGTGCCTTCCCTCCTAGGGGGCTTCTCTTCCAGCACTCTATTGGGCAGTATTCTACTTTGATCCACTCAGTTTCCATTGACTAATTTTGGGTAGGAGATTGACAGATCTTTCTTCCTCATCTGTTTTAGTCTGAAAGCTCCACTGAAACCTGTCTACCAGGAGTGACCCTTCTGGTGCTTAAAGTGCTTCCAGCATCGTAGCAACATGCGAGCCACCAGAGCACAACACATTGACAGATGGGTGGTAGTATATTTGAGAAGTATCAATGGGAGAATTGACCTTGTCAAATCTTAGTTCTTATTCTTAACTGAGTTCTGCTCATCTTAATAGCAATTTAGTCGTGAGTCAAAACAATGTTATGTATGGGTTCTGATCTCTGAGTGTGGAAATAAAGAGTATGAGGGTTAGAAATGTTGGGGCTTGGAGCCCCACACATTGAGGTTCAAATCCTACTTCTGCCATTGACTGCCTCTGTGATCCTGAGGTGGTTGAGCTGCATTCTCACATCTCTGTAGAATGGGAATCATAATAGCGCTGCTCTCTTAAAGTGACTGGAATTTCCAAACCACTTAACCCAAGTCACACTCACTGCTATTGAGTCAGTCAATTACGAGTCAATTATCAAGTCAGTTAGCAACCCTATAGGACAGAGTTTCCAAGGCTGTAAATCTTTAACGGGAGTAGAAAGCCTCATATTTCTTCTGATGAGCAGCTGTTGGGATCAAACTGCTCCTTTGCAGATAGCAGTCCTGTGAGCAATCTGCTTTACTACCAGGGCTCATTTATGACTTACTATTAGCTACAAAATATAATTTTCTTGATATAGTTTCTTGAGCTACCAAGAAGCCCTGGTAGCATAGTGGATTACAAGGTGAGCTGCTAAACCCAAAGTCAGCAGTTCGAAACCACCAGGATGAAGTTTTCCATTCCTGTAAACAGTTATAGTTTCAGAACCCCCCCTGGGGCAGTTCTACCCTGTCCTATTGGGTTGCTATGAGTTAGAATTGACTCGAGAACAGTGAGTGAGTGAGTGAGATTTTGTAAACTATGGTTATAGATGAAATATTCATAAGCTTTGAATGTTTATATCTTTATGAGAAAATTATGCTATATGGATATTGCATTTTTCTAGTTTCCTCTGGTTTTGAAGGAAATTTTTGGAATAACGAGTATTAAAACACAGTTACTTACCCAACTCACAGTTCTTTCCTTCAAATCCAACTTGGCACCAGCATTCATAGGCATTAATGTCATCCTTGCACATGCCACCATTTAAACATGGATTGGACTCACATTGGTCTCCATCTTTGAGACGGGTGAAGAAATTGAATTAGCAGGTCAATAGCTTAGAATGCCCAGACCTCCCTGTACATACTCATCGGGGAGGGGAATCTGATTATGGGAACAGCAGAACAGCTGACATGGAAGCCATGCCTAGAGGCATGTGATGTCCCTGTCTTCCTGTTTCTAAAAGTCACTTAAGCAAATGTTCTGAAAGTTAACATTTCCCTAGGAAATTGCTGGAAGGATGTCTTATACATAGTCTATGCAGAATGCAAGGGGAGAAGGAGAAGGGGAAGAACATCTGGGTATAGAAATATGCTGTATTAGGAATCATGGAAGATCTAATAACATTTGAAGACCTGTTATCTAGATGTCATACACAACCTGCTTTCCCATAGGTCGTGCAGAGTAAGCTGATCTGCTTCCTTGTATTGTCGTGCCCCTCTTTTAAGTATAGTAGGCAGTAACGGCCCAAGACAATAAGGAAGATGCCATTGCATTTCCTAATTCTTCTAGGTAGCATGAGGAAAAAAGTTCAATATACTGAAAATAACTATCTCCACCCACCCCCCCAAAAAACCCAAACGATCGCAATAATCGACGGATACCCCCCACACACCCCTTCCAGGGGGATGAACAACAGAAACCATGGGAAAGGGAGATGGCATTTGATGTAAGCTGAAAATAATAATAATTTATACTTTATCAAGGGGTCATGAAGATGGGAGTGGTGAGGGATAAAAGAGGAGCTGATACTAAGTGCTCAAATAGAATGTAAATGTTTAGAAAATAATGATGGCAACACATGTACAAATATGCTTGCTATAATTGAGGTATGGATTGTTATAAGAGCTATAAGAGTCCCCAATAAAATGATATTTTAAAATGATTCTGTAAATGTGCTTTATTTATGTATACATTGTCTATATTTCCATTCTACTTTTTCTGAAGAGTCCACATATACAGAGTTCTTGGAAGCCTTTGAAGACATAAGGAGGAAGAAAGAGGCAAGAGGGGGTGGGTCAGGATGAGGAGGGAACTTTAAGTGTGCTTTCTTAGTGTTGTGCCTCGATCCAGATGTCTAAGGAAGTGTCTGGAGAAAAGAATGAATAGAACCAAAAGAGAGACGGATGTACACTTAGAACTAAAACACAAACCAACAAATAAAGGGGGAAAAAATGGGAACTAGATCAGCAAGAAAGGATGAGAGAAATAGGAAAGTCAAAGAGAAATTTCTACTTGTGAGTCAACCTTTGAAGTAAAATTACCCAACATTTGTATTGTCCTTGCTCACCCACTCTCTCCCCTCTCAGAAGCATGTATGTCGTTTGCTTTCACTAAGGGATTAATAACCCTTTCTCAGAAATCATTCCTCTCAGAGAGAATGATTGCTATGAAAATTAGACCTTGTCCCCTCTGCCCCTTGATCCAATGTGCTTTTGCACAAACACTGCAATTTGTTCCAATTCTATGAAAACGAAACACGTTATCTCTGGTTCATTATTATCGATGTTCTGAACAGGTCTAAAAAATGAGCTACATTTGCACTTTATATTATAGACCAACGAATCTGAATTATTTAGGATGCTTCACTGAAAGGGTCTGGGCTTGCTGCCAGCCACACAGCAACTCCTTTGCTGAGACATTTCTTTAGAATGAGTGTCATTTTCTCATATATTTCATCCCTCCTTTGGCCACTGGTCTGTGTACTTTGGGCCAAGGCAAAGCCATAGACAGTAGGGGTCAAAGACAGCAGGCATAAGACCTTTGCCAAGTGCGACAGTCCTCTTTAGGTGGCTGTTTAATGAATAACTATATCTAAATGGGAAGACCAGGAGGCATGAAGATGATAACAAGGGATTGGAAATGAAAGAACTTGGGTGTGGTCCTGGGCTTCATGACTTCCCAACGGTGTGAATTTTGGCAAGTCCTTCAACCCCCTTAAGCCTCTGTTTCCTGTTCTGTGAAATCAAGTTAATAATGCTTTGCTCACAGGGTTGATGTGAGGGTTAAATGTGAATGGGCGCTTTACAAAGTGCTGGATGGATGCTAGTTAATGCGCTTGGGCAATGGCTTTTCTTCAGTCAGGCTCTTCCTGTAGCAAACTGATGGTAGACAATAGGGCAAACGTTAGGCAGGGTCCCTGTTGTGGTGGGGAACAGCAAAGACTACATTTGTGTTGGCTAGCAAGCTCAGCTGCAAGTGGAGTGAGCCTTGGGGTTCCTTAAACATTTTTTTTCATTCTTCTTTTCACTTCAATATAGAAAATGTAGCAATGACTGAATCATCTCCTTGGTGTTTCCATGTTTCTATGCCAGGGACAGACCACACAGCTCAGCCTATGTGACCTAGAAGGCAGGGGCTCAAGTGAAAAATATAGTGCATAAGAAAGGTCAGAGAGGCAGTGAAGGATCAAAGAAGTCTAAATGCAGCCAGGAAGATTCTTTAGAAAAGTATGTAGAACTTGCTTTGCTTTTAAAATGACATCACGAGTTTGGATTTTTAAATTTAACAGGAAGAGGGAATAAAAAGACTGCGTTGGACTGCCAGGGAATACCCCAGTAGAGAATTGTCAATGGACAGAAAGACAATCTAGTGGACCAGGCCTCTTGTTCTCTCAGGATTTAAAAACAAAGGTGTCCCAATGATGAGCTGTGAAGCTGTGACAATATCCAACAGTGCCTGCAGGACAGGAGCTGTGGAAAACAGAAGTACATCTCAAAAAAATGGAACTTGGGGAATCTGGTTTTGGTTAATTGTACTGGTCCATGCAAACAGTCTTATCCAAAAACCAAACCAAATCACTGCCATCAAGTCAATGCTGACTCATAGGGACCCCCTGTGGGTTCCCAAGACTGTAATTACTTAAGGGAGTAGAAAGCCCAATCTTTCTTGAGAGGAGCTACTGGTGGTTTTGAACTGCTGACCATATACATTTCAACCCAACATGTAACCACTGCACCACCTGGGGTCCTATATACTCCCTCAAAATTCTGTTGCTGGATTCTCTGTTAATTTTAACTTTAACGAATAACCCATTGGCTTCGAGTTGAGCCCAACCCCTGGCCACCTTGTGTACGTCAGAATAGAACTGTGTTCCATACGGTTTTCCAAGTCTGTGCCTTTTTGGAAACAGATGGCCAGGCTTTTCTTCCCATTTTCCATTTGGTTAGCAACCAAGTTGCTAACACTAGTATGAACAATTTGCATCACTAGTCTTAAATTCGTTGGCTGTATTGGTTGGGATTTTCCTTCTTTTGGTCAACCCACTCAATCCTGAGTTATTGAGTGCCTCTGGACCAGATGTTGTAGGTCCACCAGGAATACATCAGTAAAGAAAATAACGCACTCTCTATTTTGCCATGTTATAAAGAAGGAAATCCTATGCCATGTTATGTGGCAAAAAGCACTATGGAAAAAGACTCAACCAGGATGGTGGGGCTACTGGAGATGCAGGCTAAGGTGTTGAATAGGATGAGCAAGGTCAGTTGCATTGAGATGGGAACCTTTGGGAGGAAACCTGAAGGAGGTGAGGGAGTGAGCCAGGGATGCCTGGTGGAATAGCATTCCAGGTTGAAGAAGGGGGAGCATTTTTAGAGTGTTCACCGTAAAGCAGGGAGGCCAGGGTGGTTGGAGTCCAGCATGTGAGGAGGAGAGATCAGAGGGCAATCATGGAAGTCACCATAAGGACTTTCAACCCTTTTGTGACCCATGGGACATAAAGTGCCCACCAACATTTTCTGCCCCTGATGTTTAGTGGAAAACTGTTATCCCACTTTTCATACATGCTGCCATGTGGTTGGAGCCTCTATACCGAGAATATAAAGAAATGGGGCTCATCCCATCAACCGGAGTACGAGAGACTTTCCCCCGGGGCATATGTGCCCCACTTACTGTATCAAAAGCCTTATAACTGCAAACATTTTGGGGGGTTTCATTTCATTCAAAATACCTTCCATTTATGAAAACACAACCATTTCAGCAATAACAACAACAACAACAACAACAACAACAACCACCACAAATCAAAGCAGAAAATAATCTGGTCTTGCAAGGTTCAGCAACAAATAATAAATCTACTGAGGATTGTAGACTCTCATTCAGTCTAAAGATAAAACTCTCTCAGTTTCTTCCTTCCAGCTTCCTGAGACAGAATGATGTTCTTTTGAAGCCCTGAGAGGAAAAGACTTTGCCACCAGCTGGCGTCCTCCCACAGCAGCATGAACCTGTAGGGCATCGGCATTCAATCTCGGGGGAAAGATTTAGACTGTTTTTCGGAATGTTTCTGACAGAGTTTAACAATATTATCTGTTTACAGACAAAGCAAAAATACGTAATTCCCAAATGTTTCCTTTACCCACAAGAAGACGAAATTAATGCTTACCAATATATTGCTTCCAAAATTCAGTCTAGAGAGAGAGAGAGAAAGAAAAAAAAACGCACAAATAAACGGTAGTATTTAAAGTGCTTAGGGACCAAATTACTTCTCTTTCATAATATTTTTAACACACGCACACACACACAGATATATTAAAGTTCCAAAAGAAGTTTCTGTCTCTCTTATTTTGGAATATTATATGGAAATACTCACAGTTTTCTCTGTGTTTTCAAAAACTTCTCGGGCTTCTTCAAAACTACACTTTTCTTCAATGCATTCTCTCTCAAGGTTGTCTGAAATAAACTCTTCCAATTTCCCTGAGTTATATCTCTTTAGGCGGTTCAGAATTTTGGTGGCATTTTCACGATCAAGAAAAACTGAAATTCAAAAAGAATGGTTCTTTAGATTCAGGGTTTAAAAAAAGACGAAAGAAAACATCCTGAAAATGAAACACATCTCTTATGAAAGGCTTTGTTTTTAATTCAAGTAATCCCAAAGCCAATTTCTCTGTGGGGCATGGCGCCAAAATCCACGATGTTCCCAAGGCACTGTATACACATGGAGATTTAGGAATTAAAATTCAATTTTACTTTTAGTCAGGAGAGCTCTAGTAATAAAAGGTCAGATTTTTAATCGTACTTGAATTTACTTTGGATGAAAAAGAAAGTTCTCAAATAAGCAGTTAACTTCACACTTTGTTATCATTTGAAAAAAGCTAATTGCAAATCCTTGTCAGGTGCTCCATCGACTTGACTAGGATGTGTGCAGGATGCAGCTACCCCAATGACTTGGCCTCATGTTTCTTCTGGAAGAATAGAGGCCCAGTTGTGGTCCAGCTACAAATAGGACGCAAGTGACTCTTACTAGATACTCAAGAAAAACCACAGGATTCATTTATTTCTCTTTAGACCAGTGGTTCTCAACCTTCCTCATGCAGCGACCCTTTCATACAGTTCCTCATGTGGTGGTGACCCCCCAACCATAAAATGATTTTCCTCGTGACTTCATCACTGTCATTTTGCTACTGTGATGAATGGGGCAACCCCTGTGTAAGGGTCATTCGACCCCCGAAGAGGTCATGACCCACAGGTTGAGAACGCTGCTTTAGACTCACAGCACCTTCAGTTGGCATCTTATAGCCATCTTGTAGCTATCTTCAGGGTGTTTTGTATTTCATAAAACAGTTTTATTGGCATATAATCCATATAGCATACAAGTTAATAGTTCAATCATATCAAGAAGAGTTGTACAATCATTACCATAATAAATTGTAGAACATTTTCTTTTCTGTACTTATTGTTATTAGCTCCCCATTTCCCCCCAACTTTCCCTGCCATACCCCCAAGAAACCATTAATCTAGTTACTGTCCCTATAGATTGGATTTCATATACAGAAAAACATACCACCTTCCCAACACACACACAGAAATAACTAACAACAATAATCAAATAGAGAGAAACTCCAATTGAAAAGAAAGTAGAAAATATTAAGAACTAGAAAAATGTTAAAACGAGTCAAAAGGGGGTTCCAATGATAAGGTGTTGAATTTAGCCTAATTACATCTGCTATAATCCACTTTACAATGCACTCAGAATGTGTTTTATTGTTGTTCTAATTGTCCAGCTTTTTCGGATACTCCTGAATTCTGGAAAACTGAGGCTTCTACTTCATGGTATTTTCAATCACCTATTATGTATGTGAAAACTGGACAATGAATAAAGAAAACCAGGGAAAAATTGATGCATTTGAATTATGGTGTTCAGGGAGAATATTACAAGTGCCATGGGCTGACAGAAGAGCAAACAAATCTGTCTTGGAAGAAGTACAGCCAGAATGCTCCTCAGAAGTGAGTAGGGGAGACTTCATCTCATGTACTTTGGATCTATTATTAGTAGACTCCAGTCCCTGGAAAAGGACATCATGCTTGGTAAAGCAGAAGAGCAATGAAAAAGCAGAAGACCTTTGACTACATGGATCGACAAGGCTGCAACAAAGGCTTCAGACACAACAGTTGAGTGGATGACACCTAATAGCAACTACAACTTTGCATATTTTCTCTCTGTATGGATTTGAAAATATATATACCTACTGTGGTGGCAGAGTGGATATGCATTGGGCTGCTAACCACAAGGTCAACACTTAGAAACCACCAACCACTGTGGGACTAAAATGAAGCTTTCTACTTAGAAACCCAAAGGAGCATGTCTATTCTGTTCCATGGGGTCACTATGAGTCTTATGAGTTGGAATTGACTTGATGACAGTGAACTTGGTTTGGGATGTATATATGAGGGAGTACTTCCCCAAACCCAGAATTGTGCTGGATGGAGTAGAGATTTTGTAGTATGCATTTTTCCTGAGAGGTGAGCATCAAGAAACTTGCTCTGAGTTAGTGTACTCAGTGGCATCGCTTGGGAAGGTTCTCTCTGGCCACAGTGGATTTTTTTCATAACAGTAGTTTGTGATGGCCAATTTAATAAAACAGCATGTGGTTGTGAATTTTTGTTTCCTGCTCAGGGAAAATGCTGCAGGAAATGTTGTGATGTTGAACACAGCTTACAAGGACAGCACTATGGGAAAAACTCATGTGTACGAGTGGTTTTCTTGTTTCAGAAAAGGTGAAATGTCAATTGATGACAAACCTTGTTCTGGACATCCATCAACTCATGAATGGATGAAAATTTAGTCTCAGTGCAGTTGGAGTTTGTTCTACCAGGTCAGAGTGTTAATCAAGCTTTCTATTTAGAGGTTCTGAAAAGATTTCATAACACCGTGTGACAAAAAAGGCCTGATTTGTGGCAGATGGGGGATTGCTTTTGCCACCACAACCATGTACCTACTCAAGTAGCCATCCTCAATGCACCGGTTTTTGGCAAAAAAAAAATCCAAAAAAACAGCATGCCTCTCTTGCCCCATGCACCTTACTCACCTGACACTGTTCTGTGCAACTTCTTTTTGTTTCCATGAATAAAGAAGGACATGAAAGGATAGTGATTTGATGACATAGAAGTGGTGAAGTAAAAAGCGAGGGAAGTGCTGTAAGCCATGCAAACAGATGAGTTTGAAAAATGTTTCCATCAGAACAAAAAATCTTACCATAGTGAATGATGGGGGGAGTGCGGAGTGGAGATCCAAAGCCCATTAGTAGGCCACTGGAGATCCCCTTGCA